GTTATCCCCTGATGTGACAACATATAATACAATGCTAAGTGCTCTATTTCAAGCCGGTAAGCTAAGTAAATGCTTTGAGTTATGGGAGCTTATGAGTAAGAATAACTGTTGCAATATTGTCAGCTATAACATATTCATTCAAGGGTTGTTTGACAACAAGAAAGTGGAAGAAGCGATTTGTAACTGGCAGCTCTTACATGAGAGAGGCTTTACTGCAGATTCAACTACTTATGGACTGTTGATTCACGGGTTGTGTAAAAATGGATACTTGAATAAGGCTTTAAGGATACTAAAAGAAGCAGAAAATGAGGGAGCTGATTTGGATATATTTGCGTACTCCTCGATGATCGATGGGTTATGCAAAGAAGCGAGGTTGGATCAAGCGGTCGAGCTGGTTCATCAGATGAACGCACATAAACATAAACTGAATTCTTATGTCTTCAATTCACTGATTAATGGATATGTCCGAGCTTCTAAGCTTGAGGAGGCTACTTTTCTTTTAAGGGAAATGAGCAAGAAAGGCTGTTCTCCTACTGTGGTCTCCTACAACACACTTATCAATGGACTGTGCAAGGCAGAAAGATTTAGCGATGCATATCTTTTTCTGAAGGAGATGCTGGAAAAGGGTTTGAAGCCTGATATGATTACCTATAGCTTGTTGATTGATGGCCTTTGTCGAGGAGATAAGCTCGACATGGCACTCAACTTATGGCATCAATGTATCGACAAGGGTCTTAAGCCCGATGTAACCATACACAACATAATAATTCATGGTCTTTGTACGGCCCGGAAAGTCGATGTTGCGCTGAAATTTTTTACTGAAATGGCACAGGTGAACTGTGTTCCTGATCTTGTAACACACAACACCATCATGGAAGGCCTTTACAAGGTCGGAGACTGCGTAGAGGCTTTAAAAATTTGGGACCTTATCTTGGAAGAGGGTCTTCAGCCAGATATTCTTTCTTATAACATTACCTTTAAGGGACTCTGTTCTTGTGCTAGAGTTTCAGATGCCATTGGATTCCTATATGATGCTTTGAAACATGGAGTTCTTCCGACTGCCCCAACATGGGACATTCTTGTAAGAGCTGTTGTTGATGATAGACCTTTAATGGAATATGCTCTTGTTTCAGAGTCTAGGACGTGATCGGATTCTTATGTGATGCTCTGAGTCCAGGAATTCTTCCAACTTCCATAACATTAAATGTTCTTTCTTAGGGAAATTATTGACGATGGATCTTCAACATCTTCTTGATTGAAATGATTTTAGAAGTAAGTCCCTCTCTCTCTCTCTCTCTCTCTATTAGATATTTTTTAGCGAATCATACTGGCTCCTTTGACCGTGCTTTTAACTGTTTTTTGAAAAATTTCAAATCCTGAAACCAAAAGTCTGCTAGACGTGTTAGGACTTGTAACTTTTAAGAGTTATATTTCTGCATTAGACATGAGCATGAGACGTTAGTAGCGACTCTGAGTATGTAGAAATTTAGGGTCGTTACAGCACTTGCATTCGGCCTAAGAGGATGCCAGATCTGCTAGTACATATGTTTTGAACTAGTTCTGTTCTTTCTTAGAATACCAAATGCATTGATCAGATATTATCAGCTTATAGGTCCTTTTATTTTCATTTTCGATGGCCGACTAGTGAAGTTCAAGATTTTCAAGAGTTTCATTTCTTCAAGATTTTCATTTTTATTTTAGTGATAGATTTCATAGAGCCAGTAGTAACAATGATAATGTTTCCAAAAGAGTTGCAACTTTTATTTGAATCTGAAAGCTTTTCAATTTGGCACCAACTATTTGGAAGGTTAGACTGGAAAGTTATTTCTTCTCCTCGGAAAATTCAAGACTTTATGTAATGACTAGTACAAAACAATATCCGTGGAGTCAAACGTAAAAAATCGTTACAAACAACACAAGTTTTAAAGTAAATAAGGTTAAAAATGATATTAAAATTGACACAAAGGGAAAAACTCCTCTAGTGCCCCTACATAGCTGCATGGCTCTGTACGTCCTTGCCACGACCCTGATCTACCGTTCACCTAATAATTAAAGTGAAGTAGGCATGAGTATAAGAATATTCAATAAGCAACCTACTTGTAGGCTCTCGTCGGGCTTAATCCTTACGATAGTCTCTTAAGCTATGTGCTCATATTCTGACTCTAGCATTAGCCAATGTCATGGCTTACCGTCTATATAAGTCCTATAAGGCTTATATATACCTAAACTCATACTCTATGGTGTATAACTAATACCCCTTTGACCATAATGTAGGGTTTGGTTGTTCTTAGCTTTTGTTTACGTTTCCCAAGGTTTATTATTAACCCTGTGCTATTTGCACGTGAGTCAACTCGCCCTATAATGGTCTCGTACGTAAATCTCATGTGTATAAAGTAACTTGTGCACTATATGTAGACTAGTACTTTGATTGCTTGCACCCCATATGAACTGTATACTAGGTGCACCCCAGTTGCATACCCTCTACAACTCCTGGCATCCCTATGGGTGATAACTAACTTCTATGTATCAAGTAGACTCTAACCATGCTAGGAAAGTTCACAATTAGGAGTTGCACCCTAGCTGTCTCTACTTGATTGCCTGGTCACTCGAAAATACCTATGGGACTCCATGTAGGTTCTAGGACCAAAGGAAATGTACAATAATTGCTCACTTGAAAATAGGTCATGTAATTATGTTGAAGATATTGGTACAAGATCTTTTCAAATGACTGCCATGAAAATTCCAAGCATCAAATGTTGTAATTCATTACAGAGGTCATGGTGATTGAAGTCATAATCTCCAAGGCCAAATGTTATCGATGCAAAAGTGATGTTGCTTGATGTATCAGCCTCAAGTAGAGAGGATTTACTTGGGGTTATGCCTCATGCTATAGTTATTCTTTTCTTTCATTTGCTCATACTTTCATCAATAACAAAACTCCCTTCACTTTTTTTCTTCAGGCTGCTCTTTGATGTCTGTTTTTTCCATTTCAGATGACAACCTTTGTTCATACGAAAACTGAAAAACCATAGCAATAAGAACTACCCCAAGAACTGCAACTTTTCGCCAATCAGGTGAAGAAAGGAACGACTCGGCAATCGCTATAACAAGCAGGCCAATGAATGCAAGGTAGATATATCGCCTCGTCTTCGAACCAGCGGTTTCATTTGTAAGCTCTTTAATCTTCTCCATTTCTAGTTTAGCATTCTCTTTGTCTACAGGCTTTCTCTGTCTCAGATTCTTAAAGAAAAGGCCTTCATTTCGTTCTTCTTCGATTCGGCCTTCAAATTTAGCCAACATATCATCATTCTTCTCTATTTCTTGCCTGTTCAACTCTACAGACTCCTCAAAGACCTGCATCTGGCTCTCAATGTTCTCCATAATCTGTTCATCAATAACATGAACAAGAACAACAAATGGGTTACATTCCAAACTGCAAAATTCATTGACAAATGAGAAAAAAAAACCAAAAATATAGACCCGGGCACTGGCATCCTCAAGCTCTTTGAAGGCATCTTCTCCAATCTTCTCAAACTCGGCATCGGCCTCTTCAGCAAACTGAGTGAGATCAGCTGATTTTTCGTCTAAGAAATTGGTGAGTCGGAGTTTTTGAGTTTGAAGCTGCGCTATTCTGGCCAGTATCTCCTGCTTTTGAGGGTCTCCTTCACTTGAATCAGAAGTGTTGGACTGGCAGAAGCGCAGGAAGGAGGAGGTCTTTGAATTGTGAAGTTTTGGTGTATATAAGAAGGTATGTTTGTGGACTGTAAAAGATGTTTGAATTGGTTTGAAGACTATTATCATCTTTGTTTATTTTAGAGAGAGAGAGAGAGAATTGCAGAAGGAAGAGGAAAGCTTAGATGGAGTTCTTTATGGACCTCTCATTTTTTTTTTTTTTATGTACTTTATCACTCTCGTATTTAAAATATGAGATTTTGATAATTGATTCTCATTGGAGTTTGGTTGCCTTTCTTATCCTTTTGAAAATTGGTATTTTCATCAAAACCCAATTTAATATTAAAAACAAAAATAATTTAGCCCAAAATTAATTACGTATAATTTTAAATTTTGGAGTGTAATTCTTTTATTCATGTAAATTTTCTTTTTCTGTTTCAAAATCAAGGTCAAATTAGCAATAGTGAAAACCAGGCCCATTTAGTGTGTTGCTGCCACAAGAATATGGGCTTAACCCTGTAAAATCCCTTACATTTGGGCTTGAGCCCATTGGAAAACACGAAAGCAAACATTAGTGGGCCAAGGATAGGCCCAAGTAGATTAAGCAAGTGGATTGACCCCAAACTTGTCGGATATTGAGAAATAAAGTGATTGGGCCAAACCCCAGTTCGTCAAAATCAAAGCAATGTCCCAAAAGTACGAACTTAAAAGTTACAAGGTTGACTCTGCCCCAAGATGACATTGATATAAAAACAACCATGTGTTTTAAAAGCTTTGATTAAATATGTCAATTTAACCGGTCAAGGTTGAGATTTCATGGACATCTGCACCAAACGGAGTGAGAAATCAGTGCTTAAATAGAAGGAGTATGGAGAGATTTTCCCCTCTTACCTAAATGGGTTAGAAATATGAACTTAGATTTTAATATTTCATTTGAGTGTTGTTTTGGCAACCCAATTCAGTGTCATATACCTTTATTTGTCACTTTGAAGCTGGGATCTAACTATCTAGATAGCCATATTTTTGGTGCATTAATTTGTTCATCTTTTTCATTGACCCTAACTTAATCAGACTAATCCAATCAAATTACAACCAAATAATTAGCATAAAAAAAAGGGCCAAACTTTAATGGGTTGGGTCTTCATCAGCACCCAATTCAAACTCAAATTCAAATTAAGTTCTTAGAGACAGAAAGTACTTACAACAATGGTTTAATCTTAAGCATTCAATATGGAATCCATTGGTTGAGAAGCTGACCTGAAAGCCATTTCCCAACAATAAAATAATACTATATATATTTCATTTTTTTTATTTTATTTTATTTCATCTTTTTTTGCAAACTATCCATTTTCACCTTACTTACTTGAGATTTGAGAATGCCACCTTCCTTCAACTCTCAACTTTCTCTGCCCTTTCCTCTTCACCAGAAACCTCAAAATGACAAATAAATATCTTTTTTTTCAAATCTCTAAAGATAAGTTGAGTTTTGAATCAAGATCTTTCATGTATTAGAAGACCGTTCTCGAGAAGAACGCTCGAGTCAGGTCTTCTTGAGAGCGATGAAAGAACATACGCTATCTCAATCGTGAGAAGAAGAGTCATTCCATATAATTCAAGCAACCAGCACCTAATACATTGTTCAGATATGAGTTGGTGTGAGATCTCACATCGGTTGGGGAGGAGAAGGAAGCATTCTTTATAAGAGTGTAGAAACATCTCCCCAACAGACGTGTTTTAAAAATCTCGAGGGAAAGTCCAAAAGGAAAAACTCAAAGAGGACAATATCTACTAGCGGTAGGCTTGGACTGTTACCGTTAGTTGGTTTAGTTGGAGAGTTTCTTGGCTTCCAGAACTAGAGAGATTAGTCCTCTTCTTACTTAAAAACAGCAAAACAGCTCTATCATTCACCAACCATGCAAAAACGACATTTCAGCTAAGCTTTATATAAGGGATGCTTTCCTATTATTCATTACCCACATCTAAACAAGGCTTGTATCCAGTAGAGGGAGAGAAAGAGAGGGGTAAATGGGTATAATAATTCGAGTTTTGGTTCTCGTGGCCTGTATTTTCCCAGCTTTCATCGAATGCCGAGTTCAACGCTACACGTTTGATGTAAGTACTGATTCTTTTATACCAATCACAAGCAGATGGCAAGACTATCTAACACTCACAATTCCCAGCTTTGTTTTTTTTCTCTTCTTGTTCACTTTTGTACTCGAAAGTGTGTTTTGTTTTTATGGCAAACTTGGTTTCTGATCTTTCATTTTAGCTGACCCATCAGTGTTCTTAACTAAGACAAATCAGACCTTTTGGGGATTCAAATTCCTATTCTATATGTTAATGGCAGGTGGTTTTGAAAAATACTACAAAACTATGTTCGAGTAAGCAAATCGTCACGGTTAATGGAAAGTTTCCAGGGCCGACCATCTACGCTAGGGAAGATGACACAGTACTCATTAAGGTTGTTAACCATGTTCAATACAACCTTTCTATTCACTGGTAAGCCTGCCTACAAAACTTCTACTTCACCTATATTATGAAGCCTAAGAACGAATGATTTGTAGTAATATTTAAAGGAAAGGAAAGTAATGAATGATGCTACCTCACTTTCTTGTTCTGGTCAGGCACGGAATTCGGCAGCTCCGAACCGGTTGGGCAGATGGACCGGCATACGTTACGCAGTGTCCAATCCCATCAGGGCAAAGCTATTTATATAACTTCACTGTTACTGGCCAAAGAGGCACCCTTTTTTGGCACGCACATATCCTGTGGCTGAGGGCAACTGTCCATGGTGCTTTGGTCATCTTGCCTAAGCTTGGCGTTCCCTATCCATTCCCAGCTCCTCACAAAGAAGTTGTCATTGTATTAGGTGAGCAAGCTTGAAAGTAAAACAATCTGTCCCCTTGCCATCCTTTTTAGCTTCACTTAGCCCTGACTGAATTGATTCTAAAAAATGATCCTGCTTCTGCAGCTGAATGGTGGAAATCCGACACCGAAGCCGTGATCAATGAAGCTCTTAAATCAGGATTAGCTCCAAATGTATCAGATGCTCACACAATCAATGGTCATTCAGGACCCCTCTCGAGCTGTTCTACACAAGGTACAAACGACCATTACGCATATCAGAAAGTTAAAGATTATGCGTCGTGCACTCGAATCTAACATCGACGTTTCTTATCAGGGGGATTCACATTGCCTGTCAAGAATGGAAATACTTACTTACTGCGTATAATCAATGCTGCACTCAATGAGGAGCTGTTCTTCAAGATTGCTGGGCACAAACTCACAGTTGTGGAGGTTGATGCTACCTATGTGAAACCATTCAAAACAGACGCAATTTTGATTGCACCAGGCCAAACCACCAATGCCCTCATCACTGCTGATCAAAGCTCTGGCAAGTACTTAGTTGCCGCCTCCCCTTTCATGACCTCTCCGATCGCGGTCGACAACAACACCGCCACAGCCACACTACATTACTCCGGCACTCTCGCAACAACCACAACGACGTTAACTGCCCCACCTCCTCAAAACTCAACATCAGTCGCCAACAACTTCTTGAACTCTCTCAGAAGCATTAATTCAAACACCTACCCTGCAAGAGTTCCATTGACCATTGATCATAACCTTCTCTTCACAGTTGGCCTTGGGATCAACCCTTGTCCCACCTGCAAAGCTGGGAATGGAAGCCGGACAGTGGCCAGCATTAACAATGTCACATTCGTAATGCCAACCACAGCCTTACTTCAAGCTCATTATTTCAACATCAATGGAGTTTTCACAACTGATTTCCCGGCTACCCCACCTCATGTTTTCAACTACACAGGCAGTGGACCATCGAATTTACAGACAACAAGAGGGACAAAGCTTTATAAACTGAAATACAACTCGACGGTGGAACTTGTTTTACAGGACACCGGGATCGTCGTCCCAGAAAACCACCCTGTTCATCTCCATGGGTTTAATTTCTTCGTCGTTGGAAGCGGAATCGGTAACTACGACCCTAAAAATGGCCCCAAATCATTCAATCTCGTCGATCCTGTTGAGAGAAACACCGTCGGAGTGCCTTCCGGTGGATGGATAGCCATCAGATTCAGAGCTGATAATCCAGGTAAAAAAAAAACTACGTTAAATTACAGTGTTCATCACTAAATCGAACACATCATCAAAGATTAGAGAAAATCACTCACAAATATCCTTCCTAATTGCAAATCTTTGTGTTGGTGTAGGAGTTTGGTTTATGCATTGCCATTTGGAAGTGCACACAACATGGGGATTAAAGATGGCTTTCTTGGTGGAAAATGGCAATGGACCGAACCAATCGATCATTCCGCCTCCAAAGGATCTTCCAAAATGCTAAGCGAACGGCATGGCGAAGAAGAAGAAGAGGGTTATAACATACCGTCGATCCAAAAGTTGAGGAAGAAGAACATAGCCATTGTTACCTATTTTCTTTTTTGCTTTCGAAAAATGTTCAAATAAATTTCTCTTTTGTTTAATTGTTTGAAAAAAAAAAGAAACAAATTCTTTTTTTTTTTTTCTATTTTTTTCCACGAGTTTATAATGAATGAAGAACAGCGAAAATAAATTATTAATATTTTTTTTATTCTATTATTTATCTTTTACATATGTTTTCATAAACTTTGTAAGAATTTGATTAAGAATTCCAATATTTTTTTAAAAAAAATATAATTTATTGAAGAAAAATAATAAAAAAATATATATATAATTTTCAAAATTTAATATCTAAAATATTAATTATTATTATCAAAATATAATTAGTTTAAAAGTAGAAATTTCCTCGTAATTTAATAGATAAAATATTAATTATTATTTTAAATAAGAATGTTTGGATTATTTTTAATTCAAAAAATGTAAAAATTGAAATCTTAAATAAAACGAGTCATATTTTCACCCATTAAATTTGGAATTTAGGCGTTAGGGAGTGGGCTTATTGGACCGAGTGCTTCATGGCTGGCCCATATCTTAATGGGCCGCCATGACCCACTACAATAATTATTTTTAAATCTATAGTAATTCCAAACTAACCTTTTTAACCGTAAAATTTAAAATAATCATAATAAATAAAAGATTGCATAATATACCACTTTTATTTAAATAAATCTTAAAGTAACCATAGTCATTTAAAAGGGTGTAATAAAGTAACCATGGTCAACTAAAAGATTGTACTTCTCTGTCCATCAATACCATAATGAGTCTGTGAATTATGTATACATAATTTTTGTAAATTTTTGTACGTAGCATAGTTTGCATGACATGGTTGGAAGTTTAGGCATCATAGATTATCATCATCATAACATATTGCCTCACATGACATAACACAACATAGTGTAACATGACGTGATATAACGAAACATAGTACAACTTATCAGAGCATGTCATAGTACTACTTGGCATAACATAGAATAACAATCATAATTATGACACGTGCAAGGGCCACGTGACACACATCGTCATGTATAATATAATTCATTCAAACGAGCCAACAATAGAGTCACTTGTTTGGTTGGTTGGTTGGCCTAAGCGAGAGTTACTAATTATCTTTTGTACTAGCCTAAATCTACTCCTCGAAGTCTAGTTCAAGCTCAAATCCATCATTTTGATGATATTAGTTAAAACAAACGATTCTAAAGATAAACTACCTTATAGTCCAATAATTGAGGATAAAGAAAATCTCTTATATCTATTCTAACTCTAAAGATATACGTGCACCGGTGATTCATGTATATATCTTTCCTTGTTGTTACACTAGTTAGACTAGTAGTTGACCAACACACGGGGTCGTTTCCCAGACTTTTAACTCTTTGGCGGTTCATGTAGAAGGGTCACTTGCTAACGTTATACAATGATGTTCAAAAAGAGATATTATATAGTCTTATAAAACACGATGAGGTCGGGCCTCAACCTAAGATACCGATCATTAATGCCAGGATAAAGCAAACTACCTAAATCTAAATATAAAAAGGTTAAGCTACCTACACAAACCTCGAGAGGTGACAATCATACAAGAGAATTGCTCGGAACTTCGAGACCTCTTTAAAGGCTTAGATGACTATAGAGATTTAGGTTCGAACTCGTCCGTCCAAATCTTCTAGGATAAAGATGTGATAGTACTTAACAAGTATTTTTATACTCATCCTATCATTTCCGTTTTTAGGGGTTCGATGACTAGCAATTGAGGTGAGAGAGGCTTACGGAGAGATCATAATGAAGCATTAGTCCATTGGTAGATTTTAGGTTTTGTTATATGTTTTAAAATTTTATAATAAACTCGAACAACATTTAACTTAGAATTAGATTTTGATTTATTTTCAATTGTGATATTACTTAATTTAAATTACGCAAAATTTAGTCAAAATTTTATTTATTTGTGTCTTTTTCGTCATATTCTAAAATTCGAAACCTAAAAAATATAATAAACTGAATAAATTGAAATCAGTTTGGAAAAGAAAAGTAATATGAGTTGGTAGGTGAAAAACTAGAAGCACTCACCAAAAACATTTAATTAATGGGGAAAAAGTGGAAGCAACAAAAGCACTTACACTAGGCACACTTACACATGTCCCCCCTCACTCCATACATCAATATTTCATTTTCTTTTCTTTTCTTTTTTCTTTTAATTATTTAATATTATAATAATTCTCGGTGCTCGTTGTTTTTCAATTTAGTCTTTATAATTTTAAATTTAGAGACTAAATTTAATTATTAATGAAGAAACTTTTTAAGTCACTTTTTAAGGTGATTAATGTGGGTAAGTACCATGAAAATCTTGCTTTTTCCTTAAACCCACCAATAACATCTCCTTAATGTCCCTTGCTGTTTGGAACTAAGTTTCCTAATCCCCATGTGTTTAACTTTTATATATATATATATATATATATATATATATATATATATATATATATATATAAATTTAAATATGAAGATATAATATTTTTAAGATTTTTTTTTTAATTTAAAGGAATGAGCTATTTTTCTTTTTGAACGACTTTAGTTATTGTCTTTTTGTGAATTGTAAGCTTGTAAATGATGATTTCGAGTGGGTAATAAGGTCGGGTTCAAATATGTGATTTAATCATATTTAAAAAACAAATTGAAAAAAAAAAAAAAAAAAAAAAAAAAAAAAAAAAAAAGCTTAGATTCTTGTCTATCTTTTTTGTTTCTTTACTCTATTGGCAATAGTGTTTATAATTATTATAGCCAACTTTTTTATTGGGATTCCATTTTCACCAATTATATATATATATATATATTTTTTGTTCTTGGATCAAAATTTTTATAGAGCCAACAGATTGTAAGATGAAACCACCCTACTCTTTCAGCTAATTACTAGCATGTGATGAGGGATTTCCCAAAATTAAAATAATTATATATATATATATTCTATTCAACTCGACATTATCTCTATTCGGGAGTAAGGTTGTTCAATGCAACATCGCATCTCATCTTGTCATCTTGGTTCCCAATCGTCATCCCAAGTTTTGGGGTGTCGTTTGGTCATTACAATTCACTCTGTCATGCCATTGAGAATAGGCCCATGTGTCGCTTATGTCATTGAAACATCTCGAACATTCATCCATTTAGGTTTTATTGAGACATTGACTCCCTTGTGCCCATGTCATGTCATTTACGGGATAGCAGGTGCATAATTCAACCTCCGACATGCGGGTTAGGGTGCAATACGGGTTATGTACACTCATGTCCCAAAAAAAATCTCATTTTAAAGAGAGTCGCCCTCCCCTATAACACGTGCTAATGGTTTGGGAATTGGCATCTCTCTAAACTTGGGTGTGAAGAATCAGCTCCACAATCACCACACCCACCAATTACACCTCAACACTCTTGACCTTTCAATTTCATTCTCTTTAATTCTCTGCAATTTCCTGCTCCTTTCATTATCACTACACCTCCACTACTACATCCCTACGCCTCTCTGATACACCTATTTCAAGCATTTTCCATTGTTCCTCTCATTTTACCTTCTGGGTCTTCCATTTTTCCATTTGGGTCTTCTTCTTTGCCTTTGATTTCGCATTTTTCTTCGTTTTCCCCAAATGGGTCGTCTTCTAATCAAGCTTTTCTGAAGGAAAACAAGAACAAACCCCCTCTGTTCTTCGCATTCAATCCAAGCTCGGCCATGGCGGCGATGCCAGATTTACGGATCTGAATTTGAGCCTCTAGGGTTTTGTTTTGTTCTTGACGAATCTTCCTTGAGCCTCTAGGGTTTTGTTTTAATCCTTTCATGACCTGAAAATCTCTCTGCATTTCCTGTCTGAGAGAGATTTTCCGCCATGGAATTTCTCTCACCGGCTTCGTATCTTCGAAATTCCAATTGGTTATTTCAAGAAACAAAAGAAACCCAATGGACCCCTGAAGAAAACAAACGATTCGAGAATGCTTTGGCCTTGTACGATGAGGACACTTCTGATCGGTGGCTCAAAGTCGCCGCCATGATCCCCGGAAAAACCATCGGCGATGTGGTTAAGCATTACCAAGAACTTGAAGAAGATGTCTGTGACATTGAGGCTGGCCTGATCCCTATTCGTGGCTATGACAATCGCCATTCCTTCACATTGGAAAGGGTCGATAGCAGCCATGGATTTGATGGTTTGAGCCATTTTTATGGCGCTGAATTCAAGACAGGGACCTCTACTACACCTTCTGATCATGAAAGGAAGAAGGGAATTCCATGGACTGAAGAAGAACACAGGTAGTTCTTAGCTCTGTTCTTTGCTCTGTTAGTGTTTTGGATTCAAATTGCTGTCTGTGTTCTTGTCTGTTCTAGATTGTGTGTTTTTTAATTTGATTTGGGGGTATTTGTTGGTTTAAAACTACAGGCAATTTCTGATGGGTCTTAAAAAATATGGTAAAGGAGATTGGAGAAACATTTCTCGTAATTTCGTTACGACAAGAACACCGACTCAAGTGGCTAGTCACGCTCAAAAGTACTTCATTAGACAGCTGACGGGAGGGAAGGATAAGAGAAGATCGAGTATCCACGACATAACGACCGTTAATCTCCCCGACATGAAATCCCCATCTGGAGACAGTAACAGACCACCATCAATGGCTACACAGCTGCATCAGCTTTCGAAAATGGTTGGTAGGGCCGAGCAGCCATTCGACTGGAAATGTTCGAATCAAGGGATGGCTAGAGTTCTCGAATCAACCACGACGACGACAACGAACGGTAACATGTTAGATGCAGCTCAGCTACTGGATCATAACACTAATCATGGATCTGCTATTGCACCTTACTACACTATTTTTGAGATGCCACATTATGGATGAACTTTTTGTTTCCTTTTTGTTTTACTTAGACATATTTGATTGTTAAAACTTAGGATTGGATCGATTGCTCTATCATATGATTGGGTTTGATATTGTTTGAGCCGATCATGAATAAATCATGGTTAACCTTATGAACTAAATGATTAGACCGTTAGTAGATATTCTCCTC